TTTCGCTCCACAGATGCTGCCAGATTTGCTGAGTTTCTCCAGCATTTTCTGTGTTTGTTTCAGATTTCCAGCATCTGCAGTGTTTTGGTTTTATATTTTATCAGAGTCATGCTGGATATTTTTCAAAATGTAACATTGCAAAATTATATTTATGATCTATAATATCATTATAATAATGCATTTGCTCGAAGTTAAATGTGAGCATTCCTTTACATTTTGTACTCATTGTTAATTGCCCGCAGCATAAATACACTTTGATGGACTTGCCTAAATCTATCACAGTGCCTGGTAGGGTTCTGCTAACTGTTTCTCTTCAAGCTAAAAAAAAACTTTCTTTTCCTTTATTTTATTTCTATCCATATGGTTCTGTTGTTATCTCCAGTTCTGTTCCCACAATCTGTTTACTCCACTTTTATCCTGCAATCCCAGTCCCTCGATCTGTGGGCTTTCCTCATCCATTTCCCAGCACCGGATTTTAGGCAATGGGTTGCCTCAGGGATTGGAGCTGGAAACATTAACTTCTTCAATTTGTAAGTTCCCAGAGTTCAGAAGTTCAAGAGAAAGTGGTCAAGATGACATGAAACCAAATAGTGAAGCAGTTCAGAAACTACAGAATAAGTTGGACAGACAAGTAAGAAGGAAGAACAATGAATGATTAAATTAAACTGAGACAAATGTTGCACATAGGAAGGGAAAATAGGTGACACAGATAATCCGCAACTGTATGAAATGATTAAAGATGAAGCTAGGAAACTAACAAGTCCAACTAATTTAAAGCATCAGTCAATGAAATCAATGTAAATGATTAACTACATAGACAGCACAATTAACTACAACTCAGAGGTGATAGGAACCAAACTTTACAATGTACTAATCTGATTCTTCTTTGAATACTGTACCCAGGTTTGATCGTCTAGAAACAAGGGAGACATTTAAATGCTAAAGGCAGAGCAAATTAAAAAGGCACGGGATGTTCCTCACTTTTTGACATTTGGGTTAAAAGGAGAGATTGGAACAACCTGAAGTTTTCATCCAAACATAAATGGTGTTGGGAGGTGTCCTTGTAAAGGTCTGCTGGTTTAAAGAAATGGGAAAAGTAAACTCAGATATTACACTAGATTTTGATTGCAGTTACAGGCTCAAACTCACAAAAGGCAATTTCACAACTAATGTCAAGAAATTCTTCATAGAGTGATCAACGTGTGGAATAAATTTCCACTCAGTTTGGGGGAGCTGAAATTTTTGAAAGCATATATTAAAAAATGAGTGCTGCAGTGGGAGCTTTAACATCTCCGTAGTGGAGGCAATCAAAGACACTGAACGAAAAGGATAAGCAAACCTTTGCTTAACTAACTGCACACATATATGTAAAGTGTCATTGCTGTGACGTCACTACATCTGCTACACATTCAGATGGATGAGTTCAAATGCTTCGCGCCTCGCTAAAAAATAATAATGACTTTTCACAGGCTTTGTAACAAACCAAACATTTATTAGTTGTCAAATGAATTGCCAAAATGTTCAGTTCTCTTTCTGGATATATTCTTATAACCAAATATTTATGCAAGTTTGTCAACATTGACATTATTTGTACCTTTACTTTAGTACGATAGAAGTTAAAATATTGAACAATTAATGAAATTTTATATATTACAATAAAAATTCTCAATAATAGTTAGTTGGATGGATCCAATGTGGTAATTTTATCATAAACTGCCTGTGGGGTCGTCATGAATGGCAGGGTTTTCAGGTCTAAATACTGAGAGGCATGTACTCAGGTACAGTACTCAGAGCTAAGTGTAGTCATTCCAGTTTTGTCTGATTTTAGTCTATATGTCAGAGAGGGAAGATGAATTGGGCTCCAAATATAAAGTCCTGTTTCAAACAGGTAAATAGGGAAGCACAAGATGTCTGTCACTGCATTCGGGAGTCCTGTATTCCTGCAATAGGCAGTGTGTGGAGAATGAAAACTAGTTTTTGACCAGGTGCCAGGAAATAGATTCCCAGGCAGGGACTTTGTTTATACCAATCTAGTCACAACCAACACAACACAGCTGATGCTCTGTTCTAAAACATCAGCAGATTTTTAGTCAAATTGTTTTACATAACTCTTAGACTCCGATATCAAACGTGTCTTCTTTCTTTAATGAAAAACAGTATAGAAAATATCTTTATATCTTCATAGTACATAATTGTATATACATGATTTCAAAACTGCAATACAGTTAACAAGAAAAAATTTGCAGTCAATCAGTGTATAAAAATGCAAGGATTTATACATTATTGCTTTTTGTGACATCAACCATAGGTGACCTAAATCATAGAAACTGAAAAAAAACAGGACCATGAAAATTTGTCAAATTAATGCTCAGTTTTCATATGTGTTGATTGAGAAGTATGAAACATAATAAAGGATTTGCTTTTATCATGGTAATTATAGTGTAACAACAAAATATTTTAAACACACATAAGCCTTGAAATGACTGTTTGTGATATTAACGGTTGAATGCTTAATGCCTTTGTATGGAATTCCTCTACTTACTAGTTTAATAGAAATGTTAACTTTTTATTTTAAATGGATTTAAGTCTATGTTAAAATATTGGACAGAGCTATGTTCTTTTACTTGTGTTAATTATTAGTCTGCTAATATCACCAAAAGCAATTTCTAGACTAACCACTCAGAGTTGAAATAAGTTTCTAATTACTTTGGTATCCTCTCACTTCATATCATACATTCTTTGTTATTATTGCCAACAGATTACCTCATTTTCAGACTTTTTGGCTGATTGGAGAGATTTTATTTCTCTGCTATGTGTTGCAGATTGCCTCTTGCTGTGCCTTCATTTTTGTTGTTAAGAATCATAATGATTAAAAGGGTGATAATACTTGTGCTGAATAGTGGTCAAAATTTCAAATGATTAATTGATGTCTAATGTCTGATGCAACATCAAGTGACTTGCGTTACTTTGTAACGTCTAGGTACATAATTCAATGGCATTGAGCTGCCCAATATTACCAAGTCCCAAGAGCTACCCCATATATTGATAACACTCAACAATTAATGGTGTAACATGTAACAATGTCCAAGACAACACAGAAAGAGGACATGGCACATATATAAGGGCATTGTCTTTATCAAATCTAGCTTCCCTTAGCATGGGAGATGCCAAGGAAGACGTTATATTCTGTATTCAGGAGAGCACTGTCTATAGCCAAGTGAAGTGAGGAGGTCATTCATTGTAATTTCCCAAGCTGCTTTTTTGAAAATAAATGAGAACAAAGGTTTGCCAAATAAATTGCCTAAGATTAGATGTAGGTCTGATTTTGTTCTGGGCTAATTTCTGTACTAAACACAAAGAAACATAGTTCTAGCTGGTATTCCAGGAGACATTTTTCAATGCTCAAAAAACATTTTACTTGAAGTAACAACAGTGAAAGCCCTTCAGTGTTTAATTCTTAGGTCGATACACATGATGACTGGAGAAAGTCATTTTCATTGGATAGCGTAAAAGTGACAACCAAAATTGCTGGAGAAACTCAGCATGTCAGGCAGCATCTTTGGAGAGAGAAACAGAGTTAGCACTTCGAGTTCAGTGACTTCTTCAGAGCCTGGAAATGCTAACTCTGTTTTAGCCTCTCCACAGAGCTGCTGAGTTTCTTTCTCCAGCACTTTCTGATTTATTACTGGCAGTTTTAAGTTGCTTTTAACCTGGTGCTGATTATAACACAGGCATCTGCTAGAAGAATACAATAAAATGTTGGGGGAGGAGGAGAGAGCTGCACAATCTAATATTGTACCCTGACAACCAACACAGAACTGGGTCCTGGTCCTGAATTTCCTGGGGAAGTCCGAGGTGGGGAGTGGGTATTGAGGGAGGTTAGAATTTTTATCTCCCTGTCCCTGAACGCACTATAAATGCTCAGCTCAGGTGCCTGTGTTTGTTTTGAATGGGTGCAGCCCACACTATTTCTGGCTCACAACAGGATGCCCAACTGGCTGGGCAGAGCAGGAGAAAAGTTATTGAGCAGCACTACGCTGAAGAACTGAAATGAAAGCATATTTTAATATTGATTTGTTAGAAAGACACCAGAACTGTGAAGGTACTTTTATTAAGAAAAATAAAATGAACAGCAAAGCTCTTATTGCTGAACTAGCGAAGGCTGAGGGATGACCAGATGGAGAGCTTTCAGTATATGAGGGCAGATACGGAGAATATGCTTCCACTTGTGGGGAATACAGGAACACTATCAGCACTGTAAGCATAAAGTTGTGAATAGATCCAATCCAGGAGTCACTTGTTCACTCAGGCAGTGCTGGGAATCTGAAACTGGCTACCAAAGGGAGCAGCTTGTGTTGAAATACATTGTGTGGGGTACATATATATATATCTTTAAAGGGAAGCTGAACATACAAGGGAGAAAGGAGGAGATGTTGATAAAATTGGGGAAAGAAGGGCAGGATGAGTCTCATGTGAAGCATCAACACTGCGATGGCCCTTAGACTGAAGGGCTGGTTCGGTCCTTGAAATAGTAAAGATGCTCTGTAAATCATGATTATCAATATAGGTAATCCGACCACCAGTTCTGCCATGCCCTCCCTTTCAAACCTCAAAATGGACCCATGGGGGATGCACAGGCATTCCCAAGGTCATTAATAAAGAGAATGCATTCAGACAATGGATATGGACTCCCACAAACTCTGGGATTTCTGCGCTGCCCTTCCCAGGTAAGATTGATGCTGGGAACTCCACAGCTTCTTTATCCTCAGAGATAAATGTTGACAGCTGCAGGTTAAAATTATTCCAGTGCAGACGTATATTTTAAAAGTTGAATTCTTGTGGCTCATGGCAGACTCTCAGTTCTCTGCTGGAAATGACTATGAGAATCAGCCAGTGCACTGCCCACAAAACTTAGAGTAAATACCTAAGCATTTATATTTGGGTAACCTATAGACCCACCCCATCATACCCCCATCTCCCCCTTCCCCAAACACCAAAAATATGAAAACACTCTGGATCATGGGATTCGCTTGCCTAATTGTGTCTTTCCCATCTAAGAGAATGAGTGAGCCAGGACTGATGTTTACACTGCATCACTGGAGGGTTGCGAATATCAGGTTGACCTCACCCTACGATTTATTCCTCCTTCACTTACCTTAGCTACCCCATAGCACACATTGATTTTTAACCAGGGCCCTGTAGTTTCTGTGGCACTTCTCAAAGTGTTAACAGCGGTAGAACAAGGCCATCGGTTCCAGTGACACCAGAAAGTTTTCTGGTCTATTAAATATCCACAGTGGACAGATTCCATAAGGCTAGAAATGATTTTGAGGGGCAATGTATAATGAACGCACTCGGGGAATCTGCTGAGATTATTGTATTTTCCTCAAATACACAGTATTTGTGGTACATATACATTCACTAGTTTTTTTTGTTACTTTTGATAAGATAAAGCTTCAACCGTATGCTGCACAACCAGCATTGTGCATGTTTGTCCTGCTGACAACAGAATGGATTCACTGTGTCCATATACAAAGCATCAACCCCACCAACAACCTTAAGAATTCTTCTGTTGAATTCGGACAGTCACAGTTTTGATTTCCGTGTATTCCCTTAACCCATATTCTCCCCTAGAGAGACAAAGAGAAAGCGATAAATAGTACATTCACGTTGTACAGTTGTCTGAAATAATACTTTGTCACTGAAATCATAAAATGGTTTTTAAAAAACACTTTGTAAATTCAGGGAATTCGTTTTTTTTCTTTCCCCGTGTTTAACTTTTTAAGTTTAACAGAAAATGTGTTTGTGGACATAAAACAGCACTCTTAAGTTTGGTGAGATACACAGTGTTCTGAAACCCGAGTCTATAAAACTACTTACATTTCTCTTCCAATGCCAGACATTTTAAATCCTCCAAAGGGACTTTGGACATTTAAGGCATTGTAACAATTAATCCTGCAATAAGAGAACAATGAATTTAATTTGAATTAAATTATTGTTTAAAGAAATCTACTCAAGTCCAAAGTCTGAAAGACGAATGCAGGAAAACAAGCATAAGGATGATTTTTAACTGGATTCACAAGAGACTTTAAATTTGATGTGCAACATATGACAATGAATTGTGACAGATGAACAAAATTCATCAGATGGGAAAAGAGGAAACACAACCTCAAAAGATCAGACAGAATTGAAATAACTGAGAATGGATAACAACTCAAAGCTTCAACTATGTCACATTCCACTCATCTTCCACCATCTTAATGAAAAGTTGTCCTGTTTCAGTAATTACATTTGTGCAAATGATTCAGCTCTTGGAGTAATTGCTGCTGCTTGGAATTCCTTGGTATAAAGCCAGGATTTCAAAAATATGAGTCAATTTGGAGCATACTTTTAGCAAGTTTGAGGGTTGATGTTATCAGCCCAATTCAATATGTCTCTAGAATAACTTCATGCATATAAAATGCATACATATACACGGGGAACTGTTTCGAAGTATTTTAGTATGTGGCCAATTTTTAAGGAAATGTTTTCTGTAGATTTCTCTTTGTGATGTGAATACATCAAGTGCATTAAAATCCATTGTCATATCACTTGGACACGTTGAAATCACAATTAAACTGACACCTGACCCAATTCAGATCCAAATACAATGATTGCACCAATGAACAGCACATGACACCATCTGAAAAATAGGCACAAACGTATGTTGGGGAGAAAGTATCCCTGAGTCCAATCTGAGTTGTTTTTCAAATGACTGATTTTTAAAACCGTCAGTCTCCTAATTGATTAGAATGTTCTTTGCCTCTATGGGTGTGAGTGAGGCAATCTGTTTCTCTGTGAATGTTAAAACACTTGCTTGTACAATTAATTGCAGTCCTGGCATTAAGTTTTGAACTCCAAGTAGGTTCAAATTGACTCCAATTTTTAACACTTCATCTCAAACAGCCACAGTGCACATCAACAACTAACTATAGTTATATAGTGCCTTTGACCAAAGTGCTTCATAGGAGCATTATAAAATAGAACGACATCAAGCTAGCTAAGGAGATATCAGATCAGATGACCAAAGGCTTGGATAAAGATGTAGATTTTAAGGAATATTTTAAGGGAGAAATGTTTTAAAGGAGAAAAGGTGTAGGAAGGGAATTCCAGAAATTAGGGCCAGTGTAACAGAAGGTATGGTGACTAATAGTGGAGCAATTAATATTAGGAAGAGGCCAGAAATTAGATGGGCGCAGATATCATGGAGGCTTCTGATGAAGAGTCACTGGACTCTGCTTTCACTCCATAGATGCTGCCGGACATGCTGAGCTTCTCCAGCAATTTCTGTTTTTGTTTCAGATCTCATGCTGGTTTTTGTTTTATCTCAAGGGGCAGGAGGAGATTATAGAGACAGGGAGGGTCAAAGCCACGGAGAGATTGAAAAACAAGAATTAAATGTTTAAAGTCAAGACATTATTTGACCCAGAGCCAGTGTAGGTCCTAGTGGAGTGGAACTTCCTGCAAGTTAAGATGCTGGCAGCTGTTTTAGACAGCCTCACATTTATGGGGCTGCTTACAGTTTTCACTTCTCCAATTTCCACCCTCTTGGGTTTGGGTAAGGAACAGCCTAAGCTCTGTCATGTATGTACCAGTCCACAACATTTTCAATCAAACTTTCCTGCTTCACCTCCTTAAACATTATCAGCAGACTCCCATAGTAACTCTCAAATTATCATTCCTTTTGGGCAATTGTAGGAAGCAGGAGGGCATTTTGGACTTCATTGTTCATAGTTTGCGGCTGTACACAGGGTGAAAAGTCCAATGCCCCAGGAAGGTCTGAAATACACCATCCTCAGTATTTTACCATCACCATCCCTGAATATATTTTGTCCTATCACCAGGACAGACCCTGCAGTGGTGGTGGCTCTGTGGTATACAGTTGGTAGGAAGTTACCCTAGGAGTCCTCAACATTGACTCTGAATCCCATGAAGTCTTGTGGCACCAGGTTGAACATGGGCAAAGAAATCTCCTGCTGATCACTGCTCTCTGCTCCCTCCCACTTGGCCAGTGAATAAGTACCCTGCCATGTTGAACAACACTTGGAGGAAGCACTGAGTATGGCAAGAGTATTTAAATGTACTCTGAGTCGGTGGTTCAATGTCCATGATGAACAGTGGCACAGTCCTTGAGGAGAATAAGTCCCGTCTTCACAGTGAGAACATTGTGTTGTGTGGCAACATCACTGTGCTAAATGGGATGGAATTTGAACAGATCTAGCAGTTCAAGACTGGGCATCCATGAGGCTCTATGACCAGCATCAGCAGCAGAATCTGCAACCTCATGGCCTGACATATTGCCCATCTACAATTACCATCAAGCCGGAGGATCAACCTTGGTTCAATGGAGAGTGCAGGAGGACATGCCAGGAGCAGCACCAGGCATACCTAAAAATGAGAAGTCAATTGTGTGCAGCTACAAAACAGGACTGATTGCATGCCAAATGGCAGAAAGAGCAAATATTAGACAGGACTAAATGATTCCACAACATCAGATCGAAGCTGTACATTCAATTGTGAATGGTGGTGGCCAATTAAACAACTCACTGGAGGAGGAGGCACTACAGATATCCCTGTCCTCAATGATGGGGGAGCCTAGCACTGTTCAGTCCATTCCAAAGAAGATGTGGAACATCACAGGCTCTGCCCAACATTATGGTCACCTTTTGTTAATGGAGAAAACTCAAAAGTGGGAACTTTGAATGACTCTCCCTCCTCTTTGGAAAGACACTGAAATCAATTGTAATTCCTTATCAGTGACCTAACTGAGAAAAAGGGACTCAGAAGATTGGAGTCAGCACTACCCAAAATATTGCAATTAGTTACTGGTTAGCATGCCCGACCCCCAATACATATTTCATTTCAGACAAGCCCCAAAATACATTAAAGTCATCATATTTCAGCAACACAGAGGAAAAGAAAAACTTGAAAAAGCATAAATAAAGCTAATTGTGAAAAGAAATCTCCATTGTTGCTCCAACTCATGAGACAACATTTTTATTTTTCATATTCCGTATCTCAGAAATTGCTGATCCTGAATAAAAAACAGATAGAATCCATGTTCAATATTCCTCAGGGATGAGTGTCTGACTTTTGATATGTTTTGTTTCAATAAACATTCTCTCCTTCCAGAAAGTTGTCTGTAATAATAGAATGAGCTCACTAAAACAGTCACTGCGAAGCAGGCTGGAAACCATCTGAGGCAAGAGGCTGTGCAAAGCTTTGTGCCAGCAACAGCCTGGAGAGTGAGAGGGGCTGGCAAACTGCATAAGCAGTGAATGATGTAGAAACACATCAACCGAATCAGACGGCTTGAATCCATTGTTCAGCATCCATTCCCCGTACTTATTTTCAGTTGATAACTAGATATATTTCTGGAATAAACCTGTCATAGGAAGCTAGTAACAGACGTCAGGAGGACATAGATAGACTGTTCAAATGGGCAGGCACAAGGCAGGTTAAATTTACTGCAGAGGAGTGTGAAGTGATGCATCTTGGAAAGAAGAATGAGTAGATCGAATATAAATTAAAAGGTACAATTTTAAAGAGCATGCAGGAACAGAGAGACCTGGGGACTTCACAATATCATATCTTTAAATGTGAAAGCAGATGTCAAGTAAGCTGCTTAATAACAAAAGCAATCAGGATTCTTGCCTTTATAAACAGAGGAACTGAGTACAGAAGCAAGGAGGTTACGGTAAAGCTTCAGAAATCAATGTTTCAGCCTCAGATGGAGGCTTGTGTCCACTTGTGGGCACCGTACTTTCAGAGGATGTCAAGACCTTGAAAAGATATAGAGGAAATTTATTAGAATGGTAGCAGTGATGAAAGATGTCAGTTATATGGGGAAACAGGAGAAGCTTCGATTGCTCTCCTTGGATTACACATGGCTAAGGGGAGATTTAATGGAGGTGTTGAAAATTATAAAGGTTTTAGATAGAGTAGATGGTGAGAAACTGTTTCCACTGGAAATAGTTTTATAACCAGAAAACCCAAAATTGAGATAATTTGTGAAAATCTGGAAGGAAATGTGAAGATTTTTATGCATTGAATTCTTATGATCTAGAATGCACTGCCTGAAAGTGTGATAGGTGCAAATTCAATAGTAACTTACAAAAGGGCACTTTGATGTGTTGTTGAATGGCCAATGTTTGCAGGGCTATGGGAAAGAGCAGGAGTGTTGGATTAATTCGATAGATCTCTGAAAGAGTCAGAACAGGCATGATGGGCTGAATGGTCTGTTTCTGTACTGTACAAAATGGTTAGTACACATTGGTAGCATTACTATTGTAGATGTGGCTTTGTTTCATTGATTATGTCTATTGACATTTGTAGTAAAGTCAAAATATATGACCATATGTGAAAGTGTTGAAGTGATACATTTTTCAAGATTCCACTCCCAACGTAGAACTGTTGCTCAATAGGGGTACAGGTCAGTGAGTGGTTTTACTCCTGCAACAGTGGTTCTAGTCCATGAGCATAGTCTTGCAAAATTTACCCACTTTCATCTGACTTGATCAGTTCAGTGTCTGACATTATCCGCCTTATACAGCCTCCAAATTAAATTACCGAGAAATCTGCCTTTGTGGTATTCTGTTGATCTGACCTTTGATCAATGATCTTTTTCCACTAAAAATAAGTCAGAAGTGTTTTGGAATTCAAGGGAGGGTTGTCTCAACATCACATCATTGTAGTTCCTTACCAGACTGTCCCAGCCTGCATAGCTGCAGAAACTGTTAATGCTTTATCGATATCCTTGGTGAACACCGCAGCCACTAGACCAAACTGAGACTTATTGGCCCTTTCCACAACCTCTTCCATAGTTTTAAACTTGATGATTGGTTGAACTGGGCCAAAAATCTGAAACAAGTAAATGAAGGTGCTCAGAATCAAAATACCAGTTAATAGTAAAATAGCATTTCAAAGTGTGTTGTTGAATGATATAATCTATATACTTCATACTGTAAGTAATTAGAATTGAGTCCAGTACCTCTTCCTTCGCTATCCTCATGTCATCTGTGACATTTGAAAATACAGTGGGTTCAATGAAGAATCCTTTCTTCCCCAGTGATTTGCCACCACATTCAAGCTTTGCTCCTTCAGCGATACCACTTAGTACAAGTTCAAGGACTTTATCACATTGCAGTTTGTCAATCTGAAGATAAATGAAATCCGTTATGGCAGGGCCTGAGCACCACAAACCGATGAGCATAGTCGGTAGCTCTGTACCACAGCAAATGCAATCTTATAATCAATATTGCTAAAAAAGAAATGTTATATCATAGTAACCTTATACCTCACTGTAAAATACCCAACTGCATAAATCACTGGGTTGTCATCAGATCAAATACCTGAAACTCACTGTGGGTGGACTGTAGTGGTGCAAGAAAGCAGCTCACCACCATCATCACAATCACCATCACCATTACCAGCACCTCAAGAGGAAATGGAGGTGGGCAACAAATACTGGCCTTGTCAGCAATACTCACGTCCCGTGAAATAATTTTTAAAAACACTTCAATATAACCTAGCCTTATAATTCATCAAACAACACCAGTCTTATACCCAACAATGAGCAAACTCATATCATAACAAACTCAACCTGATGTCATAACATAAGAAACTGAACTATATAATGTAAGGCAAAATCTAAGTCATTCTCCTTCCAGAATTAGATACTAATACTATCACACTTTACTAAAATTAAACTGAAATGTTGTATCTTTCTGTTGCTTATTGTGTTTGTTTTAGTGTTTCTTGATTGGCTCCAATGCACAGGGCACAATTTCTAAGAAACTAAGATAAAGCATATATTAAAAATTTACTCAATAATAAAAAAATGAACAAATGTTGACTTAGCCATTTTTTGAGCCATTTTTTTATTTGTTTTGCTTAAGAAAATCTTACTTGTGGGCCCTGCTCAGTGGCAGGATCAAAAGGGTTTCCTACTGTTCTCCTCTGTGCACGTTCTGTACTCTTTCTGACAAACTCATCATAGATTGGCTCCTCTACATAGATCCGTGATCCTGCTGTGCAGCATTGGCCTTGGTTGAAGAACACTCCCTGATGAGCCTGTTCCACAGCATAGTCCACTGCGAGCATAAGCCAACAACACAGCATAAGAGAGGTTAGTTATTGCCTTTAGTGTGTCAGGAAGTCCTAGTATCATCCTGGGCAATACATTTTGAAGTACCATAAGATTCCCACCAAATATTTACAGAAAATGAGGAACTGCAGATTTCTTATCTAAATATTATAAAAAGTTGAAAAAAAACATGCTTAAACACAGTGGAGTGTTTTATATACAGCACTAACAGCTGTGGCTCTGCAGTTATGTAGGTTGGAATCAAAGTACTACTATACATTATAATCTTCAAAGTATAAAAGGAAAATCTTCAGAGCCAAATCAGATTCAAATGACTTTTAAAAAGAGATAATGAAATTCTCCCCTTACAAATTCTCTATCTCAAGGGTATCTGAATGACACACAAGTGTCTTGAATGGATTAAAACAAAACTATTGCTTTTGTGTTTATTCCTCTTAAACCAGACTCATCAGCAGACATACCCTGGAAGATAACAGGCAATGGTTTGAGTAGGTGAAGGTGGATGATGTCATTGGTCACTGTGCCTTTTGTAATCACATGCAGTTTAAGCAAATATAACAGCTCAAATCTCATTTAGAAAACACCTAACAGCAGCAAAATATTATGCAAGCGACTATGTTACTCTCAGCGGGTGGCACGTCCAATTTCAGAGGGGTATAAAACAAGCATTAGTGGATTAGCCACTCATTAAACACCATTCTTTTCTTTCCATTGAGTAAATGGATGGATTATTTGGTGGCTAGGCAATCACTGGCATCAATTGTACACACTCAGAATTGGGAGTTCTGTCTCGTATGTGCTTGTTTGTTGCTGTTCAGTTGCATGTGTGAGCATTTTCATACTGCAAATGTGTGTGTTCTTCCTCTGTACAATAGCTATGATTTTAAGTTAAACCTACAATCAGCATCTGCAAAAATAATGTTCGGACTCTTTCCTCCCAGCTCCAGTGTTACTCTCTTCAGATTACTCTTCCCAGCTGCTTCCTGGATTAATTTTCCAACCTAATGATAAATACAGAATACAAACTTTAGTCTGTGGCTGTTCTGAGATTTAGAATTATTAAAGTTCAAGTGAGGAAAAGTGATAACTCAAAGATCTGAGCAAGGCTGTCTTTTAGATACTGTTCAGAAACATTCTATCAGCGAGGACTAAAACAGATTCAACAAAGTAAATGTAACATAGCCAAGGGGCATGTTTTAGAAGCAGCTGTTAACATATGACTGTGTAATTGTAACATATCAGGAGAGTGATAGGCATGTGAGGGGGTGAATATCATACACATTGTAACAGCAGCACATTCACAAGTCTTACTCTGTGAGCACTCAAAGTCTTTAACGCTTTTCCTATTTAAAATAAATCAGGGGATGAAGGCAAGCACACTAGAGGCAAATCAGAAACCCTGCCGAGTGAATGATGGGGTTTGTAGTTAATGCAGCTGTTAACTCAGAAAATTGGGCGGGTGGGATTTGGTTCTAGTTTTACTTCTATTTACTTTGATGCTTCTCCTGTGTCCAGCTAGCTACTGATATGAAAGTAATAGCATGCTTCAAACAGTCTTTTCACATTCAGTCAGGTTAGGAGCAGATTTCTTTACCAGCTGAACTGCAGAATAACATTAGGTTTTGTCAGCCAGAGGAGGACAGACAGACAGAATCCACCAAATGGCACAACTTGACTGTCCGCATATCCCAGCTGTAATGCCTAATATGGCTCCTACAATCCGGGCGAAAGAATTTTGCCAGTGCAGATATAAAAGAAAATGCAGAAAAGACGTCAACACATATGGCTTATTCGGTTACTGGCAGTATAAAACATAAAGAACATAACAACACATGACACAGAAATACCAAAAGGCAATCTGTCCAAGAACACTCACTGCCTTTTCTCTAGCTGTGATCCAACACAGATCATGCTGTACCACCATTACTCACTGTCTCCTGATCACTGGAATATTGTGAGGTGTCATCCTTGGCTCAATCTCACTCTGACCTCCAAAAGACAATTGTGGGTTTAAGCCTTCACTCCAGAGATTTCAGAATTGAGCTCATAATCTGGCATTTTCTTTCAGCACTGAGGGAATGCTGCATTGTCAGTCCTTTCATGTGATTGTAAAAGATCAGGGCCTTCAAATGTGTGGGAGCTACGTTCATGGTAGCAATTCAAATTACATTTTAAAAAGGGGCTCTCAGTATTCAATATGGTCAGCCTGTACATTCTGCGACAGAACTGTGCCTATTGGTAAAGGCCCCTGTAGAGGTGACCAGGGCTTCTGCCCATAAGTTGCCAAGCCACACAAGGGACAATGGTTGACACCTGAAACTTGGCACTAATAATCAAATGAGGCTGGTTGGCCAATTTGCCGGATCCTGTCATTACTGCTTGACAATGCATGAATTGATGTTTCTGGGATCTTGCTGTGCATCAAGTGCACTGAGACTTCTGCCTTACAACAATGACCACACTTTGAACAAGCACTTAGTTGGCTATGAAGTGTGCTTCATGGTGTTGTGAAAAGTGCAACATATGCTATTCTTTCTGGTCTTTAAATGGTTGCTTTTAAGTCATGGATCTACCCCTTGGTTTGAAAACAGGAAGGAAACAATTTACATTTATTTTACCATTCTCAAGAAGTACATAAATTAGTATCATGTCTGCCACAAAGCGCAGGAGCATCTGAAAACTTTTTCTTCACTCAAGTACTCTATTAAACCAAAACAAATGGTGAAAGTTTCCCACCTTTTAAATAAGCAGTTCCCTAACTTCTAAATTCAATAGTCAGCTGTACATAACAAAACTAAATGCATCTTTTTGAGAGAGAAAAGTAATTTTGCAAATAAATTATGGTTGATCAATAATCAGTTTAAAGATGTGAAAGAGAATTTGTGGGGATGAGTTTAATATACTTTGTATCTTAGGCAGAATCTGGAGAGTGACAGGATCAGTTATCGGACACTGAGGAGTTTACTGGAATCTGAAAGCATGTAACTTCCTGATTAATAAGGCCCTAGAAATGGGAGTACTATAGTTTTTCTCAGAAGGTTTGTCAAGGCTCGAAGTTATTGTTTGCTTCCTGTCGCTTTATGGCTTGAAAGAAATTCCTTAATTTTGTAATCGCAACATGGTATGATCAGTGTCGTGTGAGCTTTGGTCAAAAGGATGTTTGAAAATGTTCGTCATTCCTTATACTTAAAAAAAAATTATCATGGGAAATCATTACTGACTATATAAAACTTCAGAAGAATGCTTTGGGGAAATTACTGTGGGCTGATTCTACTTTTAATTGACACTTTTGGATGAAATAACCCCAAAAAAAACAGCGTTGAGTTCTGGCATTTAAGCGCTTGAGACAGGAAACAGCTTTCTCCTCTTTTGACTTCAGACTTTTAAAAGGACATTCTTGAAATCTTTCAGAAGCAGGAGAGCATCAATCATTACTTTAGATTCACAGTGACTTATTCTCCCATTTCTTGTACAGCATTAATTTAATGTCTTCCATTTTTTGTTTAATCTGATGTCCAAATGGCGTCTGAACTTGGCTATCTTCTAAAGGTTAGACTTGCTTATCTTGGGATAAAGACCAGAAAGAATGCTTCATCGTGAGGAGTGAAACATGGAGAACATGAGCCCATCATGTCTCTTGCCACTCTTCGATGGCAAATAGAACAGTCTGTCTCAGTTAACTGTAAATAATTCCATGGGTTCCTCACATGTTGAACAAACTACTTGCAACAAATATGTATCCAAGTATTACTGGTTTTCTACTCTGCTGTTTCCTGAAGAATCTATTTGAACATTGTGATCATGGCAATGTTCATTTGAAAACATACTGGTCAATAAATGGAAAGAACTCACATTAGCATCATTCCTTTCAGGATGTACTAAATGATCATTGAATTCCTTTGAAAAACCCTCATGTTTTGCAGATGGTCAATCTGTATGCAGCAAGGCCCACCGACAACAAATAGAAAAAAAAACCCAGAGTAATGGTAGTATTACTGGCCTAGTAATCCAGAGTCCTGGAGTAAATGCTTTGGAGATGTGGTTTCAAAACCCACCACAGTAGCTAATGGGATTTAAATTCAATGAATAATCCTCTAACTAAAAAACTAATCTCAGGAATGAATCTCTCCAGGCTCTGAACAAAGTGGACAATAGCAAAAAACTTGGGAAAATTGTTTGAAATGTCCAACAAGGAGCCTCTCAATATCGAGAACAAACATTCCCATTTTCTAAGCAATTGCTGAACAAAATTCTTACTAGAGAGTGGCATGAGGTGTATTAGCATGCCTTAACACCTTATTATTACTTAATTTTGTCTCATTAATATGCAGTTTCACTTTTCCACCCATTGGATAGAAACTAGATAGAGTCAATTCCCAAAATGAAAGTCAAAGTCCAGCCCACAGCTTGTTCCTCTAGACCCCCATCTTGGACACCAGTCATCAATATCTCAGGGCACACTACATTGGCAACCAACAAGTACTAGCGTCGCCCGTCTTCATGGCACATCTCCGATCCACTTACAGTATGGTCCTGCACTTCAATGCAGCACACTGGTACCTTTCATTGTAATACCGGTGCCGGGAGGCAGGGGTGGATATCAATTCATGGGTTGGACCAGACTGTATCTCAGGACGTCTGGCATGTTCTTTTCGCACTCACTGACTTTTCACCTACTTGTATACTCATAGTACCCACACCTCGCCTTCTGGAACTTTACCCCCTCTGCTGCACCTTAAAAGTTCACACTCCATCGGTCTTGCTGTGCTACTAAGCACAGATGCAAGGCCAGGCAACTTATTACATTTGTCAGTGGCCCTAAGTCAAGGGAGTGGACATTTTGGCGCATGACACCATGCCACATCAATCTCACACTCACAGCATAAATTGTTAGGGGATTCTGTTTTATTTGCAAAGTTAATTTTGTGTTTGTTATTGTTAAAGTGTTTTATATTACCCTAAAGTCTCCCACTCAATCTTTGTACCTTCTGCCTGACTGTTCTTCCTTTACCAACTTCTTGGAAAAAAATGCCTGCCTTGCTTGACATCACTTTCCTCTTTATCCAAATTTCATCCCTCTGCCCACTTCCGCTCTGTCTAATCTTTTGTCCATCCTCCTCCCACCAATGCCTTGAATTTTGCTTTCCACCCTCCCACGAGTTTCCCATCAGGCCAAGCTAGCTTGTTACCTCACAAAATTTGTCCCACATCAGCTCTTTTTGTGGGGAAGTTTTACTTTTACCACATTTTCACACTTATCACTTTTCTTTACTGCTTGTGCCTGAGCTTGAAAAATCCTCTCCTTTAGAGAATATCCTCCCCTCAATCTCTTCAATTTGTAAGCTGTTTAAATTATAGGAGGCTATCACTTCAACAGGTTCGTGATGGTCTTAAAAATTAAGAAGCTTTTGAGGAATTGAGGGCTGATTTTTGAGCCCTGGTGCCTGGTGGAACTGAGATAGTAGCACCTTCAAATTGAATGGCCACTGAATTAACCCAAAGGAGTGGTAATTATTCCAGAACTTTGGTGTTCATCTCTCTGCATTTTTCAATAACAGAGCAGAATATTGAGCTAGATCTATGTATAGGCTCACTTGCATCTGCAGCATAGAGGGTTAGGTTAGCCCATTTCCCAATATCTATTCTTCACCCCTCTCTCCACACTCTCAAGTCAAATAGTTTACAGATACAAGAAAATAAACCATCCTCGCTTTGCAAGACTCCATTTTGGATACCTACTAGAACCAAGTGAAATATTCTCCAGAACATATTCAAAAAATGTAAAGACTTATTTAGCGAAAACAACTCAGTGCACCAAACAGCAGCAGAAATGTTTGTAAGTTCATTAGAAAAAGAACATTTTTGCACAGAGCTGAGCCTGTTCCAGCAGATAGGTCTTCCTCATCTATTGACCCCAAACAAGAAAGAGTGCACTCCTGCAGTCAGCAATTCAGGGGAGGGACATTTAACTGCACAGGCCTGTTTCACCATTGGTCTATTG